CCCAACGGACTAATCTTCTTCTATATCCTTCTAGGATTTTCAAATTGTTACAAGACTTATGTGGAAGGATGCAAACGCTCACTAAATCTATCGCCTACCGCAAGTCATTGGGTGTCAAATGACCACTGAGGCCCTTGCTCTGCCTTTATGTCGGCTAGTTTCCCTACCTAACATTGCTCTCAGCAATCACTTGCCAAGTGGAATGAGCCGAGAAGCACAAATCGGCACTGAACCCACTTAAACTGATTCTATAGTCGAAATCATAATTTTAAGCTTTTTATTTGCTACCTATTATTAATTTTGATGGAAGGATATGCTGTGAAATTGACAATGGTAATAATCATGCTGTATTGAAAATAGTTGTGTAACAATGTTTCTGTTCGATTTGGACTTCCCAGACGAATTACGTTACGTTGACGAGTGATTGCTGATAGCACTGATTGATAGAAAACTAGCTGAGAGACAGGCGAAACTAAGGAACCGCATGGTGTGGTGGTGAATGCGTTACTCTCGGGAAAGGATAATAGCGCGTTCGTTCCCCACTGTAGACACCTGTGGTCCGGAGTTTTGCAAAAATCTCAGAATCATTGTAGTTGTTTAACAGTTTCTAATCGATGTTTTTCTTCAATAAGCAGACACGAGGTTGTTATTATAGAGTTTATTAGGATACAATAGCTGAGGTTTCGGTGGCTTCGCCTTCTTCAGAGCCTAGAAAGGTCAAATTGAGATGCGATCTACCCAGCCAAACACTTTCATAACCCCAGCAGATAAAACTAAACAAATAAATTTGCATTCGCATAAGAAACAGCTTCATTTAAACACCTACCGTTTATTTGTTGTAAGTATTTAAGTTAGTTTATGGATAGCAGCCGCACAGAGTAATACATGGGCGAGGACTGTGCCTGTGTCAGGTCATTGGATCAGCCTGAGGTACGGCGCCAGGTCACGCGTGATGACAAGACACTCCTCGCGGTTCATTTTTGAATTTCTAGAATTGATCCAAAACGCTTCAAGAGTTTACGCTCTGATGCTTTCGATTCCTGCGTGAGGATGGTGACTCCTACTTCAAAATCTTCTCCGTTGTGTTCCTGCATCCTATGCGCGCCTAGTGGAGTGTTTGGTTTTAATTTAGATTTACCGACTAGGTGTTCTTTTACGCTGACGCAGAATGGTCTACCCGTTTCGCCAACGTATTCGTCCCCGCACGCTTTACAAGAGATCAGCTAGCCTGTACCCGAACTCATGCAATCACCGTCTCTACCGTTAGGGCAAATCATGCAGTTTTTCGTTATACATAGACGGTTATATAGTTCCTAATCGACTTTCTATTAACCTCGGCATTGAATTATAACTATTACTACTATGATACTTGTGTAGTTTCCCAAGGCTTTAAATCATTCATTATTCACGTCCTGCTCTCAAATGCAGCGTCTGTGAAACACTGGAAGTATTTTTATTTTTCATTGTAAAGTATAGATTCACCATGGGCTTGGGTTTATCTCCAATTCAATATTGACTCACGTCTCATTAGGTTCCTTTAACTTATTAAACATGCGTGATATAGATTTTTAAGGTAAACGTACTCGGGATTTCAGAATCAGAATCAAAAATCCAGAATCCAAAGATTTTCGTTTTTCAGCGATATCAGATCGATTCAGGAAATCGTAATGGCAGCTCGACTTGGTCAACTGTGCCTGATTTGTTATGACATATCCACATATTCTCACCTTATTATTTGGTTTAATAGGTGATATTTTGTGACGAATTAAATTAATACGTTTCTGAAGTTACAGTATCGAATTTCTTAGTAGGAACAGTACTTCTTTCCATTCCGTGATTGGCTTTAGGTTTACCTCTGTCTACTTTCCGACGCACTACAATGCAATGTTTACAGATCGTTGCACTACCGTACTCACCATAGCTACTGTAGTGATGTCGGTTACCATCTCGCTCGGATTGGTTTTAGGTAACGTGGCTGTTATGCCAATTTGTAATCCATTATCTCAGATATATTTTAAGACGGTTTCTGATAACTAGATTGCTCGTCCTCAACAAGAATTTTTATAACTCTTTTCGCATAACTAGTATAAAAAAGAGGGATAAAGCTATCAGAGTTGATCAATTCCTGAGGGATGCATTCGACTTCATTAAGCATCGTTTGAGGTGAATGAAGGCACGTCTAGCCTTTACAATAACTCGCGGCGGCCTAGCAATGTATCGAGTTAGTGCTGCTATCCCTACAAGCCTGGTGCCACTTTGCCGACATCGGAGGGATGAAAGGCTTGGTGAGCTTTGGGCGCAGGGGTTGATCCCTTGTGTACTGCAGGGTGCCTCCGACCACTGCACTACAAGCGGCATTACATAACTAGTATGCTACCAGTAATTTCTTTCTATAGTCCCATCAGATCGGTGCCAGAGAATTTTCAGGTTGTCACCACAAGTTCTCGCGGAACGGTGAGAAGTTTGCAGCATTCTTCCTAGACAAGCGTGTATTTCGTGACTCATCCAATGATGGGTCTATGACAATGTAATAGCCCCTACATAGCCACATTGATTCGTTTTCATATTAAAAGTCCCCATTGTGTAGTTTTCGTAACTCATTTGGTGGATGGACTACAAGGATGCAGTTGTGCTTAGAACAACTCTTTTATTTGACTCGACGGATTGACGATTCCGTCGGATTGACGAGTACAAACTTTATTAGGGAAAGCGCACTCATCCAGCAACAAATTAGCCGCAGTGCCTTCCACACATTCGCCCCCAACTTCAAGTGTTGAGGAAATCCCTGAGAAGCAATCAAATTTCAGGTTGCATCATTGGCGGTAACGGTAAAATCAAAATCACGTAAGTAGCGCAGTAGAGAATGTGTCTTGATCAGCATCTACAATGCCTGATTGGTATTCTTAAACAGCGGTCCCCACATTTTTTAAGGGTGTAGTGAACAAGGAGAACTATAAAAGACCGACATATACTAACTGAAAGCGGCCCGTATAGCCTAGTTGTTCGAAGTACTTTGCCAGAACCATGTGGCCATTAATTTAATCAAAGGCTTTTGATTGACCTAGCCTTCAATCCATCAAGTGTCGGCAAATTGGAACCGGATTTTTCTGGAGGAACAAGGAGCCGACATGAAGGGATAGGTGAGTTACTGCATAGGTAAAATACGCATTCAGTCACCTATGTGATGCTTAGTAGAGGGCAGTACATGGCTTTTCCTCATGTGATTGATCAACATCGAATGCTTATTCTTTATCCTTATGCGATTTAGAAGCTAATCAGATTTGAACCATTCGTTAAAAGTTGGTGGCGTTAGTCTCGTTGTACACCTGTCCATTCCATCAATTCCCAACCTCGTCGAATCATACAAGATCATGAAACTACTGTTCATATATCTACAGTGAGACATTTGCTGGTTGAGAAGATTCGACGACATATCGAGGAGAAAAATGACGACGTGGGCTCGATCCAAGCGTTCTCAGCAAAGATCACTTTTCTTGTATGATTTAGTTATAAATTTAGCAGTTATAGTATGTATAGCTGAAGTTAACCAGTCTTATTCGACTCTGAAAATGACTTAATCGTTCGTATCATAACTTTTTCTACCAAATTTGATTAAGTTGCTATTTCATTTTCTTATTTTATTTCACTCGACCCGTCTTCACGTCTACTGTGCAGATCGCAGCACTTCTCACATTCAATTCGTTTCCTCGTATCCATCATCCACGAAGATCTTCCAGCTTTACGTGTGGCTTCCGTTGCTGCTGGAGTATTTCCATTTCATCCTGAATGTAGTAGAATGCTGATCGAGCAATTCTCTCTAGAGACCTTAGATAGCCCGACTTGGGCGTTCCTAATTAGATTACAGAGAGCGATTTTTCCCTCAGACAAGCCCCGCATCAACTTCCCGATCCGACCCGGAGGGATTGGAAGCTTGGTTGGCCCAGGACGGAATCGAACTAGCACCATACTCGTGATGACGGTCATCACTACCACTGTGCCATCCGTCCTCTAATTACTATTTATATTTAGCTTTGTGCGCCTAGGATTTGGAACACTAAATTACCGATAGCAATAGCTTGAGCTACAAGCAACCTCATAGGCCATGAATTTCAGATTGTCATTCGCCGAAGAGAGTGCCTGCTTTCAGTGTCGTGTCAGGTGGGATTCTCAGCGAAACAGTGGATGTTGGATTATGTGACATCGCTATGCAATACAGTGTATGTATACTACAGCGTGTTTGTTCGCGGCTTGGTGATCATCTCCGTGTTCGCCGTCGTCAACGCGTGCACTTTTATTAAAATGAATTTTTACAGGCGAAGAAAACAGGTGAGACAAAATCAGAACTCAAGGACAGAAAAAACGTTGAGAGAAAACGTTCATTCCATCCTGCATTTGCTCCCTTCATGACATATTTCTTACGACCTGTGCCTAGGATACAATGTAGGGATTGATTTGGTTGGTGTTGGAATCGAATCTACGACCATACAAATCTAACGCGTCCTTCATTGAGCAACGTTATGCCGTCCCTATCCTAAAGCACTTTCCACTTTTTTTACATGACCCATCTATACATCTGTAGTATGGATCCAAACATTTCTTGCATTCATTTCGTTGTCTCGCATCCATCGTCTACTAAAGTCCTCAGATTTTGTGGACGGGCTCCGCTGCTTCTTGAGGATTCTCGTCTTCTTTATGAATGTCATTGAATGATGGTCAAGTCGATTCTTCATCGAATCCTCCTTAGAATCCTGGCATAGCTGTGTGCGTTCCTGTATGGATTTGAAGGAGTGAATTGGACCCAGATAAGTCGGGTGAGTTCCTCGACCCTGGGAGGATCAGAGGCTGGCTGAGCCTGCCGCAAAGTGAAATCAACATTTTCTTCGTATTTTTGTTGAGCAAACGCGAGGTGTTACTATTCCTTGTTCACGATTAAGCTGACGTTTCGGCGGATTTCGCCTTCTTCAGAGCCTGGAAAGGTCAAGTTGATAGCAACTCACTCGGCCAGACGCCTCCATAACCAAACAAAGAAACTCCAAACCAAGATTTCAATCACTTTGAACACAGCTTTGCACACTCACCGCTTTCTATGAGGTTTCCACTAAGTATGTCACGTAGAGACCAACCGCACAGAAATCACATGGAAGCGTAATGTGCCGCTCCCATCAGAATAGCAGTCTTATACACTGCCCTATATCACCCGTGTTAATGAGGCATTCTTCCCTGCGGTTCATTTTCGGATTTCTGGAATTAACCCAGAATGCTTCGAGAGTTTTTCGGGCCTGTGTTCTTGATTCGCGTGCGAGGATCGTGACACATACTTCAAAGTCCTCCT